TTTACACGATATGATGGCTATGATACATTTCAATAAACACCTGTGTTAGTATGCAATTCATGCTTAACTGTTTTTAATTATATATATTTAATGTTTACACGTCCTAGTTTGCTGTCTAATTGGTTAATTCCCCATTTTAACATTTAATTATTTCATCATAAGTTTATTGCTATTATTGTGTATTATTTTGTATTATATTATTCCTGACATTGTTTGTTTACTTTGTAAGGCATTGAATATTTGCATAAATCAGGGGAAAGATGATCTGGCAATGATTTTGGTGTTGTAAACTGCCCTGAGTCCCTTTTGGGAGAAATAAAGTTGTAGTTGTAGTTGTTGTTGTTGTTGTGCTAGTGCAAATGCTATACAGGCAGCCCGCAAATTATGAACAAGATAGGTTCTGTAGGTTTGTTCTTAAATTAAATCTGTATGTAAGTTAGAACAGGCACATTTTTAAGTGTAGCTCCAGAGATAGATAGATAGATAGATAGATAGATAGATAGATAGATAGATAGATAGATAGATAGATAGATGTTTGTTTTGGGTAGCATAGGGAAGGATTAACACACTTGTGGTGTTTGTTTTGCTATGTGTGCCCCTGTTCAGAAGATTTCACCCCACTTTCTGTCCCTGTGACAATCAGATTTTGACAAATTTGGCTTGCTGTGGAAACAAGGATTGGCGATAAAGCTTCAGAAGGGACACCTTTTCCTTAATCTTTCATGAGTAAATTTCCCTTCCTAAGAGTAGATTTCTCTCACTTCTTGTTTTCTCAACTCAGTTCTTAACTATAAGACATTTGTAAGTCACATGTTTGTAACTCGGGGACTGACTATATAATGAAGATCTGCAATAAGCAAAATTATAGGTTCCAGTTTTGACAACAATGTGCAACATGAAAGCAATACACCCTAGCACATGTATTACAAACCATTTTATGATTCAGAGAAAGTTTCTGAGTCGATAGTAACCTCTTTATAATAGAATCAAAGGACTCAAGAGGAAAAATAAGAATTTAAAAAATATGCATCAAGCAAAAGCCATGGACTTACCCTTGGCTTAAGTGGGTACCAGTTCATCTGTTTGTTCTGTTTATCATTCCAATCCCAGTTTCTCAAGTCGAGCTCCACTTCACCCAAGAAGCTATTGCGCCCAAAAGTATCGTTGTGCCAAACGGAGATATTCAGCCTCTGGGTTGCCAAAAGGTCCTTCTCAACTTTATACTACAAATAAGACAAGCTAATGGTTAAAGAGGTTGTCCACAATACAAATGTACAATCTGGTATAACTCAGCTTCAGTTGTACAGTCAGCCCTCCACATTTGTAGGTTTGACTTTTGTGGATTTGAATATTTGCACATTTGATTAATATGTTCTTTTTAGGAATCTTTAGGTCCTCCAGAGCAACACTACAGTCATCTTCGGCTATAGAATTGCAAAGGAGGACACAGTGGTAAATAGAGCAATCACTTCTCTAGGCATTTGTAGGCTTTCCAGTATGATTCTATGGTCAGGTTGATGATATATGAGGATACAGAAATTCCTAGAGAGATGTTCTCTTAGGTTAAAAATTTATTTTTATTTGTCATTTCCCTACTTCTACAGGAGTCTTGTGCTCCTAATACCCGCAAATGTGGAGGGCTGGTGTGCTTGTTTCTCCAAAATCATATTGACTACCATAGCTGAAATTTCTATTCCAGGCAGCTCAGGAGTTTGGGAAGATTGGATGAGAATTCAATGTCTCCCCAAACTTTGGTCCTCTGGGTTTTTTGGACTTCAGATCCCAAAATTCCCAAGTGTTGGCCAAGCTGATTGGAAGTTGAAGTCCAAAACATCTGGAGAACTAAAGTTTGGCTACCGGTGGACTAGATTTACCAACATGTTGTAAACAAGTGCTTTGTTGGAACCAACTAAGAAGTAAGGGTTGCTTGAGCATCCAGTCTTCCAGAAGCAGACAAAAATAGTGACAATTATCCCCCAATGAATTACAAGTGTCATTGAGGGCCTTCTTGGTGGTTCTTCCTTCCTCTCCACTTTTCCCTCTTTCCTTTGCTTCTCTTTCCATCCCTTCCTCTCCACCTCTACCCTTTCCCTCTCCCTTTCTCCCTCCTTTTACATCTATTCCCCYCTCTCTCCTGCATTCTTCTTTCTCCCTCTCTCCCTTTCTTTTCCCCTCTCTCCGCCTTTTCCCTCTTATCCCCTTCTTCTTCTCCTCTCCCTTCCTCTCTCTCTTCCCTTTCCCTCTTTTTCTCCCTCTTTTACTTCGTTTCCCCTCCCTCTCCTTTCCTCCCCTCTCCTTTCTTTCTTTTTCCTCCCTTTCTCTCCCTTTAGCACTATTCCCCTCCCTCTGCTTTACTCCCTTCTTTCTTCCTCTCTTTCTCCTTCCCTTTCTTTTCCTTTCTCCCCCTCCCTTTCTTTCCCCTTTTCACTCTTTCCCTCCCTCTCTCTCACCCTTTTCACTATCCCTTTCTCCCCCTTTTACCTCTATTCCCCTTCCTCTCCTTTACTCCCTTCTTCTTTCTTTCTCCCTCCCTCCTTCCCTCCCTTTCTTTTCCTCTATCTCCCTCTCCTTTCCCTCTCTCCCCTTTCCCCCTTCCTTCTTCTTTCCTCCCTCTCTCTCCCTCTTCCTTTCTCCCCGCTTTACCTCTATTTTCCTTCTTCTCCTTTACTCTCCGCTTTCTTTGCCTCTTTCTCCAYCCCTGTCTTTTCCTCTCCCTTTTTCTTCTTTCCCTCCCTCCTTCTTTTCACTCCCTTTTGCCTCTATTCCCCTCCCTCTCCTTGACTCCATTCTTCTTTCTCCCTCCCTTTCTTTTCCTCTATCTCCCTCTCCTTCTTTCTCTCTCTCCCTCACGTTGCCCCTCCAGGTGTTTTTGACTTCAACTCCATCAATTCATAACAGCCTACCGGTAAGTTGTTAGGAATTGTGGGAGTTGAACTCCAAAACACCTGGAGGGCCGAAGTTTGCCCATGCCTGATTTACTGTATAACAATAAAAATGATAGCTATTATTAATAGTATTCATATCCTACTTGTTTCTCCCAAGGAAGATTCAAACTGGCTAACACTAAAAATCCTAACAATGTGTAAAGTGATATCCAAAGCATATAATCATTAAAATAGAATTAACTATAGCACTATTAAAATACATAATTAAAGCCAGCTAAAAGTTAGCTGCTACCATGGGGCTATATTTTCACTGTGCTGATAGGTGAACGTTTCGTTCATTCCTTCCACATATTTAACAAAAAATTTTCCTCAATTTTTAAGCTTCTATAAAATTTGGGATTCCTTTTAGCTGACAGAAACTTCCCTCTTCTGTATAAGAATTTTGACTATTGAAGCAAAGGCATATCCCAAACATCAAAAAGAGAGTGACTAATGCAAGTTACCCGTAATATCTCATTGTAAACAGGGTTCAGTGTTTTTTTCTTCACAGTTGTCTTTCTTTTGCCTAGTTTGTACTTCTCTGGTAGCAAGTAACTCTTCACATACCTATTGGAAAAAGTTTAACCACCACTGAGTCAGGTGACATATTGCTTTAATATAAAATGCATATGTTCAGTGAAGACCAAGAGCAAAATAAAATATTTTTGGCTGTAGTAGAAACAGAAGTGTACTTCACAGAAGAATCAGAAGAAAGATTCCTGGAGAAGGAGTCATAAGTATTTTGTGTTATATTTCATAACCTACAAGATATAACATACAAGTTATAAAACTTAACTAGTAACTTACTAGAGCCAACCATTTCATGTTGGTGGTGCACATTTTAGACATGCATCATTTCGTGACACAGTAATTTTGCTAGCAATCTAGAGGTTAAACTAACCTCTTCATAAGAGATACAGGCACATACATAAATTATAATAATGAAATATATGATGACACAACATATCTCATGAAAACTTTGATGGAGCGCATAAAAATCAGTTGGTGAGTGTGTTAAATGAAAAATGCAAAGCTCGAAGCTGATTGGTTACTGGCAACAGCATTGTTTATCAATTCTTCAAACAAATAGTTCAACCTGTTACCACAAGGCTAGCTGAGCCTGGGAGTTTCGGCAACAGTTACCTGTTTAGGTTTTGCTGTGCACAGAGCTTACTAAGTCAGATTGTATTTTGTAAGATCTTTCACATGGACACCTAAGGATCATTTGAATCTCTCTCAAGCAACATTGTGTGAGTCAACACAACTGTTCGCATGACTGTATATATGTTGCTCTGCATAACAAAGAGTAAACATCTTGTTCTTTACTGATCATCTGCGTGGCATATCTTTTTCCTAGCAAGGCAGTGTGTGGATTGGTAAAGAAGTGAACTATGCATTATTTTCATTTTGCCACAAACTTTTCATTTATATTTTCAAAAATATATAATTTGTAAGATCATTTCCAAGATTTCTGTCATTTCTCATTACATCTGTGTGACACACACTGCAGCCAACGCAGTAATGTGTCACGACACACAGTTTGAAAGTTCTGAACTATGAGGCTTGGAAAGTTTTGAAAGTGTTTCAAGAAAGAAAGTACAAGGGTTAGCATACATTGAAAATGACTTGAAAACACACAGCAGCAAAGACAACAACAAAAAAATTGCAATAGAGCACAGCTTCCATCTCTACTTACGGGTCTGAACGTTGCTTCTTCACATCTGCAATTGCCAAGTCCTTGCCTTGAGCAATAAAAATATGGAACTCCTTCAGCTGTTCCACATAATCAATGGCAAACTGGATATTGCCTTTCACATCCACATTACCAAAATCTCCACTGTAGACACTCATCACACTGGTGCTCACCTGCAAATCCCACACAGTAGAGCAAAACAACTTTAAAACAATTTCTTTCTCCATTTTTTTAAAGCTTAGGATAGAAATAAATCTAAGTTTAGGATAGAGGTTCACCTCTGTATTGCCGAAAGCTGCAAAGTATGATTCTGATGTCATCTACTTTCACACTTAGATTATGCATGCTTGTTTACAAACAAATCATTAATAGAAGCCATGCAAAGAATAATTTCATACAATGAGTTGAACAGAATATTTTTACCTAATTATCCCCATAATCTATTAACAAATTCCCCTTCAACTTTTCTGTCTGCAAACAACACTACTTGTAAACTTGCACTGTTAAGATATAAAACTATTGATAGCATTCATATCCATCACAGCATTTAGCGATGTCAGAGTATCAATTGTCTTACATTGTCATCTCATTTTTCGAAAGGAGTTGCTAGTATTCCCCTTTGTGATATCTACAGGAACAACTGAGGATTACAGAATAACAAGCAAATCCTATTTTGGACATTAGGTTTTCCACAAAATAAATAATCTAAGTCCCAAAAAATGGCTATGAAGGCAGGGTTTTTTCCACCCTTGTTTCCAAACCAACTGGGGCAAAACCTAAATGTTTATTTCCTTTAATATATAATACAGATTGAGTATCCTTTATCTGAAATCCCAATATCCAAAAATGTCCACACATATCTTGAGGAAGTGATACCTTGCTTTTGATGGTTCAATGTACAACAAACTTTGTTCCATTCACAAAATGATGACAAAATTTATCATCAGGTGATGTGTACAAGGTGTACATGAAACATACATGAATTTCATGTTAAGACTTGGGTCCCATCTCTAAGAATACTTATTGTGTGGAGGTAAAGGTAAAGGTTTCTCCTTGACATTAAGTCTAGTCAAGTCCATCTCTGGGTATGATGCTCATCTCCACTTCTAAGCCGAAGAGCCGGCGTTGTTTGTAGAAGCCTCCAAGGTCATGTGGCCAGCATGACTGCATGGAACGCCATTACCTTCCCGCAGAAGTGGTACTTATTGATCTACTCACATTTGCATGTTTTCAAACTGCTAGTTTGCCAGAAGCTGGGGTTAATGATGGCTCATCCCGCTTCATGGATTCAAACTGCTGACTTTTCAGTCAGCAAGTTCTGCAGCTCAGCGTTTTAACCTGCTGTGCCACTTATTGTGTACTTTAATGCAATTACAAGTTGTTAAAAAATCAAAATTTCTTGAGTATTTCATATAAGGGATACACTTCTTGTACCAACAAACATGAAAACCTTCCAGAAGCTCCAAAAGTGTTGGTAAGCAAGGTCAGGCATCCAGTTTTCAGTGCAATAATTAATTCTGTGCACTTTATTTAGAAGTGTATTTGGGCCTCTGGCAGTCATCCTTGGGCACTGCTAAGTTTGCGTTGATTTTTGTGTTGATTTAATATTACAAAATAAGGTTATTTTTTTGCAATTTGCTGACAGAACTCTGGCAAACAGGTGCTACACCATCATGTTTTGGGAGGAGGTTTGACCCCAAGAAGTCAAGAAATGACCAAAATCCCTCCTCAAGTAAGATTTTGAGAATAATGAGCAAACATGACTCATTAATTCCCCTAAGATAATAGCTAAGGCACTGAAATATATAAAGACAGTCCACAACTGCGGATTTCACTTTTGCAGATTTGATATAAATCTTGGAATCTCTTGGTTCTCCGGTGCGGTTCTATAGCCAGCTTCTGCTGGAAGTTAACCACCAAATCATACTGTAAACAAATCCATTTTTACCCTGCTTTCTCCCAATAATATAGTTTCAAGTGCACCATTAAAAGCCATTTTAAAATCTGACTGCAGATATATATCTGAGTGTTATCATTTCCGTCAGTCATCAAGTGTAACAACACCAAATGGAGGCTCTGCTATCCCTGCAAAGGTTACAGACGCAAGACGATTAGTAAGAGCAGTGTTATTAACGGAGGCTTTTGTTTACATACAGAAGACAAGGACGCCAAGCCAGAAGAGCCACTAAGATTGGTTAGCGAGCTGGGGCTCTTCTTGATCCTGCCAAGTGGGTAACTGCTGTCTGATGCTGTGTCTGTCTCTCTGTCATCACTCTACAAGATATTGCACAAAGAGAGAAAATGAATACAAGTCTGTGTGAGGGGTTGGGAAGAAAAACAGCCTTGCGGTGCACTTCCAGGGAGGTGACCTCCCAAGGTTTGCAACCCTGGGATGCAGCACTGTAGGACAAATGGTTAACGAAAGCTTTAGGTGGCATGCCTATGTTGCATGCAGGCAATACTTCTACAAAGATAGAGAAGCATAAAGAAATTAAGCAAAACAACAAGTCCATGTTCCATGCATTCACTGGCAACAGCATCACTCGTCCATTCTTTGAACAAATGGTTCAACCTCTTACCATTACATCACACTAGAGAATGAATCCACTTCAAACCTGGTTTCTGTGTCCTGCAGAATTCTGGGGTTTGTAGTTTAATGAGGTTGTTAAAGGCTCCTCCCTAAACTACAAACCCCAGAATCCTGTAGGAGGAAAAACTGGATTTAAAGTGGATTCATTCCCTAGTGTGATGAGGTCCTTATTTAGGTATTGTAGGGTGCATCTATATTGTACAGTTAATGCAGTTTGACACCATTTAACTGTTATGGAGTGGAATTATAGGCTGTTGTAGTTTTATTTTTGCTACCAAACTCTTCTGATGCATCACCAAATGACAAATCCCATGATTTCATAGCATTGACCCATTGCTATGGTCAACTGAATTGATTCTGCAGTGTAGATACACCCATTATCTATTATACTCCTAGCAAAGACCCAATCTATATGGTCATTGCCAACACGTTACATTCAGTAACCCTGGTGCTACGTCCTGTACTGTCACTGCCAACTGGGATGTATATCTCTGCATTGATTATTTGAGCAAGAAATGATTGAGGAGCTGATTCAGAGTTTTGATTCCTTAAACTCTTTTGATTCAGGTTTATAGCAAGAGACTAATATGCAGTCTTGTGAAAGCTGCATAACGCAAAACAAAAGAGAGCAGTTGAGTCCAAAATTGGAAGAAAAAAGGAAGATTGGTTCTAGTTCAGCTGCTGCGGGACTATATAACAATCATCACAATTTCATGCTTTTGTTTCTCATTTTAAGGCTGAATTAAATTTTAACTCTCATAGTAAAACCAATGTTGCAAGAAGCAGGCTGGATAGATTCAGAATTTCCTTGGAACGATGGTAATAAGGAATAACTTGCTTAACCCGATGCTCGAATCCATATTCTTCATTATGCACCAAGCAAAACATTATAGGAATAGAGTTGTATAAGACCAAAGCCAGATCTTCATAGTAAGTATGTGCATTCAAGTCAACTTATTATGATCCCCTACATTTGATAGGATTTTCTTAGACAAGACATCTCAGAGATGGTTTTTAGTTCTTTCCAATGAAATGTAGCTTATGGTTCCAGGTATTTGTTGGCAGTTTCCCATCCAAGTACAATACAAGGCTGGTCCTGCTTAACTTTGAAGAAACATTCACATAAATAAAAGCCACTAGGCTTTCAACTAGTTGATGTACAGCAGTGGTTCCCAACCTGTGGTCCATGACCAACAATGGTACCCAAGAATGTAAATTGGGTCCACAGCCTCACTATTACTACACCATTCCCTTGAAACCATGCAGCAACAAGAGTGACTGGTCTCACAAAACCCTCTTATAGTGCCGAGCCAAAAGGGATGTCGTGAGGGAAGAGACCAACTCCCCACGAAAGATTACTACTACCACATCAGCTGTAGTTTATTAAATATGGTTTTCTGTGGATGACCAGATGACGACTACTGGATGGCATATGTTCTGTATCAGAAACTAGAGCTGATGTGGTCTATCCAATGCAATTTTTTGAATCGGCACCCCAAATAACCAAACCAAAACTAAAGTTGACCAAAAACCAATACATAGCCCTTGTGGTATTATTGTTGGAGACTGGTCCCTGGACAAAGTGGTCCCTGATCAAAGAAGGTTAGGAACCACTGCTGTACAGGTAACGTAACAGCTGGGACCAAAGTTTAGTTCAATGTATTGTCCAAGGCTTTCATGGCTGGAATCACTGGGTTGTTGTAGGTTTTTCGGGCTATATGGCCATGTTCTAGAAGCATTCTCTCCTGATGTTTTGCCTGCATCTATGGCAAGTATCCTCTGGGGATGCTTGCCATAGATGCAGGTGAAACGTCAAGAGAGAATGCTTCTAGAACATGGCCATATAACCCAAAAAACCTACAACAACCCAAAGTTTAGTTCATTCAAGACTAGAATTTACTTTGGGGGTTACACTGCATAGAATCCCACTGGCATTGGTAGCCACCACTAGTTGATGGATTTGGGGAGGTGTATTTCAGAACAGTAACTTTTCTGTTCAGAATCCATATTAAGACATTTTAATATTTCATGTTTAATAATCTTCAGAACTGAACCAGAGACGTACTACTGAATCTGCTCAACTAGGAGCAGCGTATCATGAGAATGATGCCAGGAATCTTCTCAAGCCATGGATACTTTGTTATCAACAGGTATCTCAACAATTATTATTTATATATATAATCTTTCCAGAGATACAAAATGTTGCATAGTCAAGTTAAGTGTGTGAGAAACTTTTGTGACAGTGATGGAAGTACAATAAATTGTGGACTGTGTGAAAAAAAACCCAATTATTATTCTTTCATCTGGGATGAACAAAAAAAATCACCTAATGGTTAACTACAACATTGTACATTACGTGTATAATCTTATCACAACATAATTCAGCCCTTCATACACAGAAGTCCTCAAGACTCCCTCCTGGCTTACCCTCACAAATGCCCATTTATCTTAAATCTATATTCTTACTGCTTTCTGTTTTCAGCAGGTCAGCACTCCCTGCTTAAAACAAATTTAAAACAGACTTTTTGAGAAATAAATGAAAGTAAGAAACCAGCAAACACTTGCCTCATCCTGCGTAAATGCTGGGACCGATTTACTCATCTGTTTGACTTTTTCCGGATGCGAGAATTTGTTATCAGGGAAAGAAGGTGCTGTGGAAACTAAAGAGCAGCAAATTCATATTTTAGCAAAGTAATTAAAAGTCTACGACAGGAAAAGAGTGAGTCATAAAATGCTCCAAAAACACATTTGCATGCATAAAAACCACCAACGTGCAAGACGTACTTGCCATGAGCAGCAACACACACTGCAAGAAAGCTGCAGCAACGGATACAGTAATGACCTGTATATACTTTCTTTTCTTTGCTTCCAGATACCTATGAAGAGCAATTTCTCATTTCTTCCTGAAAATGAGACATTTGTACCTTTCTGCTCCTGATGCAGGTTTTGTTTCCCTGTTAAACACTACTCATAAGCACAGAGAGGCTACAACGTTAAATTGGAAGTGACTATATTTAACTAGATTGCCAATGATTATGAAGGAAACCTTATTTTATTTGACTTGATATATACACACAGCCTCTATTCGTTCAGCAGCTGAGGGGGGAAAGAAAGGGGCCTCAGGCTATTAGGAATTGTGGGAGTTGAAGTCCAAACCTCCTTGGAGGGACAAAGTTTGCCCATGCCGGCTCTATATCCACGAGATCAATACTTGCAGTTCCATTTATCCAAAATATGTCATCTCTAGGTATTTTAGGGCCTCCAACACAACTCTATGGCATCCATGGTCTGAAGGTCTTCTCTCCAATAGGGTTCACTATTATCCCCTGCAAATACGGGGTCATACTGAACAGTCCACCTATAAGGTGCACTATCAAGTATACAAATATATCTTACTTACAGTCACCACACTGTCCAATACATCTCCCCATGTACTTGATTCCAGACCCAACATACAGAATCATGGAATCCTAGAGTTGGAAGAGACCACAAAGGCCCTCAAGTCCATTGGCTCTAGTAATATACAAGGGCATATTCTACATATAGGGATGAACATGAGGAAGAACTTCCTAACTGTGAGAGCTGTTCAGCAGTGGAACTCTCTGCCCAGGAGTGTGGTAGTGGCTCCTTCTTTGGAGGCTTTTAAACAGAGGCTGGATGGTTATCTGCCAGGGGTGCTTTGAATGCGATTTTCCTGCTCCTTGGCAGGGGGTAGGACTGGATGGCCCACAAGGTCTCTTCCAACTAAAGGTGGCTGGATGGTCATCTGTCAGGGGTGCTTTGAGTGTGATTTTCCTGCTTCTTGACGGGGTAGGACTGGATGGCCCACAAGGTCTCTTCCAACTCAAGGTGGCTGGGTGGTCATCTGTCAGGAGTGCTTTGAATGCGATTTTCCTGCTTCTTGGCAGGGGGTTGGACTGTATGGCCCACATGGTCTCTTCCAACTCAACGTGGCTGGATGGTCATCTGTCAGGGGTACTTCGAGTGTGATTTTCCTGCTTCTTGACAGGGGGTAGGACTGGATGGTCCATAAGGTCTCTTCCAATTAAAGGTGGCTGGGTGGTCATCTGTCAGGGGTGCTTTGAATGAGATTTTCCCGCCTTTGGCAGGGGGTAGGACTGGATGGCCCACAAGGTCTCTTCCAATTAAAGGTGGCTGGGTGGTCATCTGTCAGGGGTGCTTTGAATGCGATTTTCCCGCTTCTTGGCAGGGGGTAGGACTGGATGGCCCACAAGGTCTCTTCCAACTCAAGGTGGCTGGATGGTCATCTGTCAGGGGTGCTTTGAGTGTGATTTTCCTGCTTCTTGGTAGGGGGTTGGACTGGATGGCCCATGAGGTATCTTACAAATCAAGGTGGCAGGATGGTCATCTGTCAGGGGTGCTTTGAGTGCGATTTTCCTGCTTCTTGGCAGAGGGTTGGACTGGATGGCCCATGAAGTCTCTTACAACTCAAGGATTCTATTATTCTAATTTGTTTACAATGTTGGGGTAAAGTTTGTTTAGTGCTGATGGTAGACATGGTACCTTTATCTCCAAATACTATTTCAGTCTTGGCCTACAAGAGTAGATTTTAAACAAAAATGTTAAGAACCATAAGGAAATGGCAAAAAGAGGCATTTCATGGAATGAAAAGTCCATCTTCTCTTGAGAAGTGGGCAGAATCACTTCAGTGAGTTACACTTGTTCTGAAGCCAAAGCTTGCCATTGGCAGGAGCTGAACCAATCCAGTCTACCAATTTTATGAAGGTTCCTCAGAAGTTAATGGACTCTACTTCTCTGGAGATCTATAAAGAGTGTTGTCTACTTTCAGAAGTCCTTTAGCTGAAGATTCTTGCATGACAGGATCTTTGTGGTCCCCAACATGGCCTTTGTAATCCCTTCCATGACTCTATGTGCCTCTGTACAAAGGCATGGACATCTCAGAATCTCTAGTGAGGGATTACTACACTGGATAGAGGTTGGGCAATACAACCCTTGGAGTTGTTTCCAACTTAACAATGTTATGGTTCTGCAAGTGCTGCACCACCTCTGAAGTATCAGCAATAGGGGGTACCTTCTACTCTCCCTAGTTCCATCACTACGGCTATTTTACTATTTCCTTGCCATTTTTCTTTCCACCATAGCTTTCCAGGGATGCTTTTCATCAAAAAGGTTAAGGTGGCGATAGCCACATAAACTTTTCTAACTGCTCCTCTGTGCAAAACAGTGCACAATGACTTCGGCTACAAATAGCAAATGGAATCACACTTCACATTTCAATACGCGTGAGCTGTCAGCAGTGCCACGTTAGTAGTAGTTTTACAAGACACAAACTGCAGGACAAGAACAGATTTCAGACGTATTATTGGTTAGTTGATATCACATATATATAGAAAGTGTGAAGTTACAAAACCTTTTAGCCTCTATGAGCAGGAAGGGTCTTAGTACTCACTTCCTGGGGCGTTTTCATTTGTTTCATGAGGTTCATCTAATTTCTGGTCTGGTCAAGATTGGGACATTAAAGAATACACTGTCACTCTCAACAGTGCAGACACTGTACAAGCTTTAATTACAGATGAAACATATACTTTACCTTTCCCATTTCAAGTATTCTCTGCCGCTTTCATCACAATCTTTTCATAACTATGTCACACAACTCTATAATCTTCTCAGATGACATAGATTATCATGGGGCCACCCATGGGTAGGAAAGAACTTAATTTGACTCCCAGTAGTAACATTTATGGGAATCTTGAGAATGAACCAAACCCAGTATGTTAATTGCCATCAAGTCAGCTTCAGTTTATGGAAACCCTACAAATGAGAGACCTCCAAGTCTGTTGACAAGAGCTCTCCTCTTATCTTCAAACCCAGGGAAGCCATGGATTCCTTGATTGAGTTGATCCACTAGTAATACAATCTTCCTCTTTTCCTATTGTTTTGTACCTTACCAAGCATTAATGTTTTTCTTAGTGTTGGATTTCATCCCTGGACTGCACAAGTGTTTGTGTGTCATCAAGTTTCTAGTCATCCATGAGTAGCTAGGTTAGCGACAGGGCTAAGCTGAGAGATACCTTCCCCCACATTCCTATGCATGTTTCCCAAAAGGTCTTTGTCTTTAATCTTTACTAGGCTTGTTTGATCCCCCCAAAAATGGTTCAATACTCGTTTCAGATGTAGGGGGCACTGTAGGTTCAATTCTAAAGTCAATTCTGATTTTCCAAGAAAAAAATGTTCAAAACTTTTCAAAACTTTCGAGACTTCTGAATCCTTTTGTTAATGGTTGGAAAGTGTTATTTCCTGTTTCATTGGGTGGTCTTTACTTTGAAAGTAGTTGTTTTACTCCAGAAGTGGGGAAGAGCAAGCGGAGGAAATTTCTTCCTTCTCTGGTTTAAAACTGGCTTCTCTGGCTTTAAAACTGGCTTCTCTGGCTTGAGCTGAAGTCAGAGACCAGAAGTGGGAAAATAATAATAATAAAACTTTATTTATATACCGCTCCATCTCCCCAAGGGGACTCAGAGGGGTTCCCAGGTAACATCACAAAACATACAAAGTAAAAATAACATAACCATAAGATTAACAATATATATATATAAGCATAAAAACTGTTGCCATAACACACATATATTAAAAGTAATCCTGCTTGTTTCCTCCGTTTGCTTGAAAAAGCAAACAAAGGAAATTCTTTCCTTTTCTGGTTTAAAACTGGCTTCTCTGGCTTTAAAACTGGCTTCTCTGGCACGAGCCGAGAACAGAAATTGCTTCCTTTTCTGGTTTAAAACTGGCTTCTCTGGCTTGAGCTGAGGCCAGGGACCAGAAACAGGGAAATTCCTTCCTTTTCTGGTTTAAAACTGGCTTCTCTGGCTTTAAAACTGGCTTCTCTTGCTTGAGCCGAGACCATGGACCAGAAACGGGAAAAAGGGGAAATTCCTTCCTTCTCTGGTTTAAAACTGGCTTCTCTGGCTTGAGCCGAGGCCAGGGACCAGAAGTGGGGAAAAGCTGAATCATTTCTGACTCACTCCATGAGTCATAACAAAAATGGAGGAAAAAGCTTCAGAAGGGCAAAAGAACTTCTGGTTTTCTTAAAAACTTTGAAATCACTTCAAAAAGGTAATTTTTCCAACTTTATTCTGAATTACAAAGATTCCAACGGTACCTAACCATGCCTACTCTTTACTGCTAGCCACTGTCTCCTCCCCCTTTGATGATGCAGTAATGGGATTCTGTGGAGGAACTTCCTTTTAAGTTTGAACTGCCCTGGCATGTTGTTTCACTTTGTTAAAAGCAACTGTAATATTTTGCATACACTCAGGCATACACTGTAGCCCACTGACAATGGCTGGGTTTCAGCATGGCCCTAGCCCAGCCCTATTATAGCTATTCAACAGGCCCTGGAAATGAATAGCCCCAGGCACTACCTTGGTCATTAGTTAAGGTCCTGTTCGGCACTTTACCCACATCCCCGGCCCTATGTTTCCCCATTAGCCCAGCCCTCTTATAGCTGTGCAGTAGGCCCTGGTGGCGCAATGGGTTAAACCCTTGTGCTGGCAGGACTGAACACCGACACGTCACAGGTTCAAATCCAGGGAGAGCGCGGATGAGCTCCCTCTGTCAGCTTCAGTTCCCCATGCAGGGACACGAGAGAAGCCTCCCACAAGGATGGTAAAAACATCAAAACATCATCTGGGCGTCCCCTGGGCAACGTCCTTGCAGACGACCAATTCTCTTACACCAAAAGCAACTTGCAGTTTCTCAAGTCGCTCCTGACACGGAAAAAAGTAGGACTTGGGAATAAATAGCTCCAAGTCCCACCCACACCATCAGGCAGGACAATGCCTGCACCTTATCCACTCCCAGGGCCCTAGTCCACTTAGTTGTATTAGCCCAGCCCTCTCATAGTTGTCAAGGCCCACTCTGGAATTTTGGCAATTGAACTTGCCGATGGAAATTAGTATTGAACTGACTTTTAATTTTAAATATGTACAACTTATATAGTATTATGTTTTTGTTTCTGCTTTATAATGTTGGTAATTGCAATGCTTTACCTACGTTGGAAACCGCCCTGAATCCCCTCGGGGAGATAGAGCGGTATACAAATAAAAGTTTTGTTATAATTTATTATGGCAGCCTATAATGAATTAATATTTTTAATGGGCAGTCTTTATACTCAGCCAAAAAACCCATAAAAACATCATCCAATATCCCAAGATGAATGTTATCCAAAGTCATGTCACACATTAACTATGTAAAAAGCTGGCTATTGTAGAAAGAGAATGGAAAAGCACATCACGGTGGAAAATTCACACAACTATCAAAGCACAAAGTCACATCCATGCAGCCACAAAGAAAATAGTTACCATCTTCCGCACTAAGCACTAAGTCTCCCCTTGGAAGGTTTACGTTTCCTTTATCTGTGCAAGGGAGAAAATGGTGACATAGTTAGACATTTCAGTGGTTCAGGAGATCACCACGGACTCACAACAGAAGCCTCTAGAGACGGGAAAAAAAAGATGGAACTTGGAAGGAACATCAGAGTCAAATGCACTGAATATACCTTTACTACGAAGCATTCAAGGTAAAGTAAATGCATCCTAAAAATTGGTCATTTATCGGGCAGTTTATCAAAGTATTAGATGCAAGGAACAACAGGGTTTGACTAAGTCAAAGGTGGCACTTAGAAAAGGACTCTTTGTAAGCCATTTCACAAAACAGAGAAAGTGCCTTTTAATACCTAGAATTCAGAACATTTTAAAAAGAGAAACCATGAAGGACATGGAAGATGTCAGGCAAACTTTTTGCTCACTTGATGTGGCTGATGGTATGTCCTCTAGACTTTTGGAAGGAGCTTGCTTATCTGAACTCCTTTGCAAAGCATCCATAACTGGGTTTAGTCCTTCTTCCGAACCTGTTTCAAGACAAAACACATGAATACTGCACAACGCACAAACTTTTCTCTCAAGTAAACATAGCCTAAGTCTTCCCCAGGTTCCTCCACCTAACTCCTACAAAACTCATGGAACTGCCATCAAAATATCAGCGCAACATCGAACCTCCTCCATAACATCTCCTATAACTTAGAGCCTGTCCTGATGCCATTGACACAGCACAGTTCCCTTCTTAAAATCATCCTCCACCATAGCAAAGGAGAGAAGAACCCAAAGACAACTGCTAGACCTGATTTAAAGTTGAGTCTCAGTGAGTCAACTTTAATCAGAGTTACATAAGTGTTGATGTAACATCCTTAGCCTAATGAAATTAGCATGGGATTTGGGCAAGTGTGGGATTATACAGATCTCCAAACGTTGCTGGTTTGCTACAAGTACAGACTGGTTAGGACTCTAAGAATTATAATCCAACAATACCAGAAGGTAACAAGATATAGGCCAGTGCCATCAAGACATGGCATGAATTGTGCAAACGGTTACATCAGGAGAGAATGCTTCTGGAACATGGCCATACAGCCTGGAAAACCCACAACCACCCAGTTACGGAAATGCTAATCCAACCATGACCTGCCATTTTTTACAGAGTGTTCTGTCGATTGTATATTTTTTATAATATGTCATTCCACCCTCCTGAAAGGTTTTGTCTTTCCCAAAGGGACAAATGTACACAACATAAAACTGAATCTAGAATTATAATAAAACTTCTGCAGAGAGACAAGTATATGCATATACTAGCCGTCCCCTGCCACATGTTACTGTGCCCCAATCTGTGTATATGTGGTTTGTGTGTATATATGTGTGTATAAAGGTAAAGGTAAAGGTAGTCCCCTGAAATTAAGTCCAGTCATGTCTGACTCTGGGGTGTGGTGCTCATCTC